GATGACCTCTCGAGGTCCCTTCCAGTCCTATAATCTATGAATCTATGAATCTATGGGAAGATACTCTTCCTCTTGTCTGAAGGGAAGGGGGAAGTTGGAACAGTGGAAAGTTACCAAAGACAGAACAAAGAAAGTCAAGTGTGTGGGGGGCATATCAACAGGGGAACAGAAGTGTTGGGGCAGGATGAGGGAAGGAGACTCCACAAGGAGCAAGCAACCCAACATAAAAATGCTGGATGAGGCAGGAGACCCTGCCTACCTCCCGGAACACTGGTGGTCCCCCAAACATTCCCAAGAGAAGGGTGAGGTAATAGGGGTCATTGTGTTTAGGATGTTTATTGTGTTCTATGTGATCTGTAGTCTCGTGTGCTTTAATGGTTAAGTAAAAGAGCAATAATGTGTTAGACTCTGAGCAAAGGGTCTCTGTGGGTAATATGCGTCACAACTGCCACGTGCCTCTGGAGAGTGTTAAATGGTCAGCCAGAAGGCTCACACCTTGGACGGAGTTCTGGGAGAGTCAGTACTGAGCCCAGCAGCTGGACAATGGGTTCCAGCTCTCAAAATGGGGTGTTAGACAGAGGGTCTGTGCCCTGAGAGTGTACGTAGGTAACCGAGACTGGCATGGTGGCTGATCCATGGGGACAACAAAAATGATTAGGGGGCTGGAGCACATGACTTATGAGGAGAGTCTGAGGGAACTGGGATTGTTTAGTCTGCAGAAGAGAAGAATGAGGGGGGATTTGATAGCTGCTTTCAATTACCTGAAAAGGGGTTCCGAAGAGGATGGATCTAGACTGTTCTCAGTGGTACCTGATGACAGAACAAGGAGTAATGGTCTCAAGTTGCAGTGGGGGAGGTTTAGGTGGGATATTAGGAAATACTTTTTCACTAGGAGGGTGGTGAAGCACTGGAATGGGTTACCTAGGGAGGTGGTGGAATCTCCTTCCTTAGAGGTTTTTAAGGTCAGGCTTGACAAAGCCCTGGCTGGGATGATTTAGTTGGGAATTGGTCCTGCTTTGAGCAGGGGGTTGGACTAGATGACCTCCTGAGGTCCCTTCCAACCCTGATATTCTATGACTCTATGATTCTATGATCCTCTTTTAGGCTGTGGGGGCTTCACACACCTGGGGACCAATGGGTCCCCCATAGTAGTCTAATAAAAGGCCAAGAAGGGGTGCTTGACTGGGACCTATGATAGTGAGACAAAAGGGTGACTTACAGCGTGGGATGTGGGTGTTGGGGGCACAAAAAGTCAGGGGGAGACAACTCAAGAAGTACAGCAATTAGATTGTGTGGATACTCTGGCTTGACATGTGCACATTTTGATGGAGCAGTTAAAAATGGTTCATGGGTGTGGCAAGTGGATTATTTAGACAATAGTAACCTTTTGCATAATCTTTGTTTTCCTTTTCCTAGCATTGCTTGTACTATTGATGTGAATAGCAGAAGCAATGGCAGACAAACACAACTAAAGCCATTTTCAGAAAAAAATATATATTCAAACTGACATGTTTAATGCCAAATTTCAGCATGACTGAAATCATTTAGACTTTCAGTTAGAATTCAGCAGCAATAATAAATAGCATTGGAAGACCACTAATATAGTGCTTTCCATGTTTAAAGTACTACAGTGTAAAACTCAGTCATAAAAACCCAACAGGACATATACATCTCGCATGACTGTTTTGTGTATTGGGGATTACCAAAAGAATTAAGCAGGTTTTAATTGGAAGCTAATGGTGCTACACTTGAATTTTTAGTTTTGTTTTAGCATGTTAATTACCATGGTTGCACATTCTAGTGTTGATTCTGCACAAACCTTTGCTGTTAGGTGTGTTGAAAATATTTAAACATCTAAGTAGGTATGTTGGACATGTAATGGCCTGTTTCCAGTTGTGCCTTGGTTTGTATTATCAAGAAACAAATGAGTTGGGGAAATAAAGTGGGAAGAAAAAGTTAAGCAATGTAGAGCACAGCACAGTTGAAAACATAAAGCTAGCAGTTTCCAATCTGCATCATTCACAGGTAAACTTTGAAAAGTTTACTTCAGATAGGCACCCAAAAATGTGGATGCTTATCCAAACGTTTCCCTCCTTAGTCTGGAAATCAGGCTGGCTAGTTTGCAAAAATTCCTCTTTTCAAAAGGTAGTGCTATAGTTCATTGGGTCAGAAATATTTCAAGAATAGCGTTTCATTGATTTTTTAAAAAAAATAGATTATTTTCCTCTTGCTGCTGACTGTTATATATACTCACTAACGCTGGACATTTGTCATGGCAAAAAAGGCAAAAATCTTAAATTTTGAGAGGAAATCCAAGGGGTCATGACTTCTGATTTTATTTTGAGCAAAATGTCTTTATTTTTTGATAATTATTTCAAAATACATCAAATTTACTATCAAAAGTCATTGTTGGGAGAAGCACACAATCTTAGCAATAACAAATAAACTTACAATAAACAACCACAACTAGCAAACACAACTAAATAAAATAAATTTGGTATTGATTCTAGGTAACATTAGTTAGAACATTAACTGGAATATCTTTTAGACCTGGTGCAGAAAAAAAATGGGAGAATGTGACAGTTCTTGGGGTCTGAGAGTCACTTATTTACCCACTGCCTCTAATGAGTGGGAGTCTTTCTTGTGGTAGCTGGGTGTCACCTCCATAACACCATCACAGTTTCAGCCACTCAAGCACTCTCCCCTGGGCTATTCCAGCCCTGTCTTTGTCTTGTAGGTTAACAATAGATGCCCTCCAATCCCTGACTCTCTTTGAATCATTTATCTGTGATATCCAGCCCCTGACACTGGCTACTCAGAAATTTCAGATCATCTGCCCCCAAAGGAGCAGTGTACCCAGTTTACTAGTTTTACCTTAAACCACTGCTCCTGTATAACACACAGCATTTGTGAGCACTTATAATAAAACAAAGGTGGGTTTATTTAAGAAAGAATACAGATTTAACTAGAAACAAGAGAGAGTGGTTGAAACAAGGTGTCATAACTATAAAGGGAAGGGTAACAGCTCTCCTGTGTACAGTACTATAAAATCCCTCCTGGCCAGAGACTCCAAAATCCTTTTCCCTGTAAAGGGTTAAGAAGCTCAGGTAACCTGGCTGACACTTGACCCAAAGGACCAATAAGGGGACAAGATACTTTCATATCTT